TGAGATGGATTGGCCAAGTGGCAGCATCGATGGACTCAAGGTTGGCAACAGTAGTGAGGTTGGCCCAGGATTGGGCAGTGTTTCATTCTGCTGTTCATAATGTTGCTATGGGTCGGTACTGACTTGATGGCACCTAACAACAGCAACCTGCTCAACCAAGTAGATATTCACTGCCTCTTGTGATTTAGGAACAAATTCCCTCCACTTATGCTCATATTTTCAGTATTAGTGAATTACTCCTTATTTGTTCCTGTGATTTGATTCATTGTTTAAAATTAAAACAATCCTAAAGACTCTTGGGTGTGGCGCTTTAGGATCAGCACTGGACTTTGAACCACAAGGTTGGCAGTTCAAACTCACCAGCTGTTCCTCAGAAACCCTATACAGGGTTGCTGAGTCAGAACAGACTCTACAGCACTTAACAACAGCAACATCAAGGCCTCAATATGTCTGAACAAATCAGATTATGTACTGCTCTGATTGAATAACTGGCATTGCAGGAGAGAACGAAATTCCTAACAGTGGAGTAGGTCAGTGGAGGGCTGCTGAAAGGAAGGAAAACAGTCACGAAGGGAGGAAGAGGTAAAACAAAAACAAATTTTATCTGCTTCAACATTTGGCAAAGTCCAGCCCAACTGGGAGGACAGAGAGAACCAGAGGCAGGGAGAGGAGAGGTCGGTGAAACAACTTGGCATCCCATGATGTGACATGATAAAGAGGTGCATTGAGGCTGGCTCTAGGTATAGGCTCCTGTGTACGACCAGGATGCCTCAGTGTTACACCATGTGGGAATCCTGCCCCCAGTTGGCTTGTGGCTAGTTCTCATTCCATGACTAGTGATAGGATGACTGGCCCAGCAATTAAGTGTTCTGGTTATGGGCTTGATTTTTCTAATTAATCAGCAGCATAGTAGCTGTTGGCTTTGAGAGATTGGCTTCTGCGTCCTTTGTAACAAATGTCAATCCCAATGTGTCTAGGTTTTCTGGGAGCACCAAAACATTGGCATCAAAAACCCAAACAAGTTGACTCCAATTCGTGGTGATCCACATGTATCAGAGTAGAACTGTGCTCCATAGAGATTTCAGAGGTGGATTTTGTAGATGTTGATCACTGGGTCTTTCTTCTAAGATGCCTCTGGGTAAACTCAAAACTCCAACCTTTAGGTTAGCAGCTGAGCATGTCAATGTTTGCACCACCCAGAGACTCCCAAACCACTGAAAGTGAGACATAATTTACCCCAGGGTATGTGTTGTTTAGAGCAAATGTCTTAAGAAGCAGGTTTTGAATGATATTTTTCCTTTCCTGTTTTGACCAGGCCAAACCTCAGGACACTTTAGACCTGTGTCAACTTTTAAACAACGACTTAGCAGCCACTGTTGCACGCTACCCTCGGAGGTTTGTGGGTCTGGGGACATTGCCCATGCAGGCGCCTGAGCTAGCCAGCAAGGAGATGGAGCGCTGTGTGAAGGAGCTGGGCTTTCCAGGGTTTCAGATTGGCTCTCATGTCAACAAATGGGACCTGAATGCTCAGGAACTCTTTCCTGTCTATGAAGTAAGTATCTGGCTCATCCAATACACAACTGCAAATGCCAACCCCTGACCAGGCAATGCGCTGGATGCAGGTGGGGAGATGAACATAACACACCAGCAGGGAGAAGAAGATGTAGAGAAATATGCATGAAGTCATATTAGATGCAGACAGGAGATGTGGAAGGACCCCCCAGTTCGAAGTAGAACTTTTCCACAGAAGACTGATGGGGCAAATGCTTCCCTGAAATAGTAGAATCTCTCTTCTTTGTATTGTCCTTATTCTCCTTTAAATCTTTTTTTTAGACACCAAAATATTACTCTCTTCATAGTCACTTTCCCTAAGAATCACATGAATGGCATACAAAAGGAAAAGAAATATATTTGTTTTTGCTTTGGAAAAAAAAACAATTATTGTTTTTCAAAGTATGGCATAACTTGGAGATACTATGGAAAATGCAGAAATGTATAAAGAAGAAAACAAAAGTCATGCATAAAGAAAACAAAAATCCCACAACTCAAAGACAGATAAGTACTGTTTTAGTATATTTTATCTGTTCTTTCATTTGTATATACTGATATTTTAACAAAACTGAAGTTCTTTTTGTATAATTTTGTATCCAAATTGAGAATATCCGACCTGAATGAAAGTTCTCTGAATGCATGATTTTTAAATAACTGTATACTATTTTTAAAATGCAGTTCTGGTGTGTTACTGGGTGTTAATGTGCTGGACTGCAAAGTCAGTTTGAACCACAAGACCTGTGGTTCAAGCTCACCAACTGCTTACTTGTGCTTAATTGCCTATGGAAAGGCTTTCAGTTATGTGGGACACTATCGAAAAGAATAACTTATGTGTGACTGGAATTCCAGAACAAGAAGAGACAAAAAAATTCATAGAGAAAAATTTTTTAAGAGTTGAAAGAAAACTTCCCTAACATCAAGAAAGCTGAGACAATAAACAATCAAGAAGTTGAACAAACTCCAAACAGGATAGACCCCAAAAGAAAATCACCAACACATATTATAATCAAACTTTTCAAAACCAAAGTCAAGGAAAGAATCTTAAGAGCAGCTCAGAAAAAACAAAGAAAAGTTACCTACAAAGAACGAATAAAACTAAGCTCTGATATCTTAGCAGAAACCATGCAGGCAAGAAGACAATGGGATGACATATATAAAACTCAGAAAGAAAGAAAAATTGCCAATCAAGCATCATATACCCAGCAAAATTGTCCATCAAACATGATGGCAAAATTAGGATACTTCCAAATAAACAGAAATTAAAAGAATTTGTGAAAAACAAACCAACCTTACAAAAATTATTAGAAGGAATTCTTTGGAGGGAAACAACAGCCAGCGAACAATAACCTAAGACCAACATACGTGACGATGTCATCAGAACTCAATCTAGAGAAGTATTCAAAGGGAAACAGGAGTCCTCTTGTGGCTCTCTAGGATAAGCGCAGAAATGCAAGGTTGGTGTGAACCACAAGGTCAGCGGTTACAACTAACCAGTGGCTCCTTGGAAGCCCTATACTGGGTCGCTGTGAGTGAGAACCAATTCTTGGAACTTAGCAATAATAACTAATTAAAACAAACCTGCAAGGCTGAAAACAGGGAACCAGAAATACCAGTTTTCAACAACAAAAATCCCATAAAGTAAAAAAGAGAGAATACTGTAATTACAGAACTTTCAAATGAAGAGTAAATCAACAAGATTTCAAGATAAATAAATAATAAATAAATAAATAAATGTCTGAAACATAACTGTAACCCTAAAACTAGAACAAGCCTTACTCCTAGCTCTAGCCCAAACCCTACCTCTAACACTAACCCTAGTCATAACCATAATCCTAACACTAAGCCAAGCCCTAGACCTAGTCATAGTCCTAACCCTAACTCCTTACCTCTACCCCCAACGAAACAACAAACTTTTATAATAATGTCTTTTACAATATCTTTTATTACTATTAAAAGATATTGTTCTAAAAATCATAGAGACCTTTAAGCAAAAACATCAAAATGTAAAGCTATTTATTGTTTCTTCACAAATCCTTCATCTAGATCTATACACTTTGGGCGGGCAGTGTTTCCATTTTTGTAATCTTCCCCCAAAGAACTCTGCCCTCTTCACTTATACCACATCAAAACTACAGTTTTAGCATCTTTGAGGGACTCAAATTGTGTTCCTTTGAAATGTTCTTTGAGTTTGGGGATGAAACAGAAGTTTGAAGGAGCAAAATCATGACTGTTGGATGGATGGGGTAAGGTTTCCCAACAAAATTCTTGTAGGACAACCCTTGCTACTCTCAAGGAGTCATGATGGGAGAAATTCCCCAGGGCGGCATTGCTGACCTTTTTTTTTTCACCAATACATTCATCAGTTCAGTGGTGGTTGTTCTCCTGTGCAGTATCTTCTCTGCCTGAGGTTGGGTACCAGGCATACCACCGCCAACATCAATCACAAAACTTCTTCATAAGTCCTGTGATTGTCCCATGCCCTTTGAAAAAATATATCAACATTACCCCTTCAGAGTCTCAAAAAAATAGTCTTCATAACCTTCTGAGATGACCTCTCTGCCTTGAATTGAATGGGTTCAATAGAGCCCCTTGGATGCCACCATTTTCATTGGACGTCAGATTGAGGACTAAAATACGCCTGACCCAAGCCATGGTATTTTCAATAGCTTCATTTGTATGTGAAAGTTGGATAATGACTAAGGAAGACCATAGAAGAATTGATGCATTTGAGTTATGGTGTTGGAGGAGTATATTAAAAATAACATGGCCCTACAGCAAGAATCAGTCCCACCCCTCCACACACAGAGTGGATGGAGATGGGCAACTTGGACATTGGATACTCAAATGGGGAGGGGGGGACTACAAAGGCAAGAAGTGACTGG